CACCTCAATCTCCAATGAAGCAAAAGGAAGTTACGCGGGAAAGTGAGGTCGGAAAACAAAATGGAGATTAGGCTTTACATGGTCAGTTTTAGCCGCCTTGTTTATTGCATAATGGCTGTCGTTGAAAGAAAATAAAACTTTCATTTGCATTACAATTGGCCTTACCATGAAAAGGCCATTGTCTGAAACAGGTCTTTGTTGTCTGCCTTCAAAGGGCTGATGCTCGAAACTTCGACTACGCAAAATTCGCCAGGGCGATCAGTGTCTCCCTCGATCAAGCTCGAGTAAAGAGTATGCTAAGTAAGTCTTCTAGCAAATCAGTGCCCCCCCTCTCCCATAAGGAGAAACTAGAGTGGCGAGTGGGGACTGAAAGCAAGATGAATGTTAGGCCCCCGCAGGAGCCCATTATCCCTGACGTGAAGGTAAACATTACACATGAGTGAAGATGACTTTAAATTAGTGGTATCCTGCTGTGAAGAAACGCTCTTGCTGAAGTAATAATAACCTATTATCGGAACATTGAAGATAGGAGATGTTTAGCATGATCCTGGAGTAAAAGTAGATAAAAATAACGATAAAAAAAAGTCTTCTAACGAGCCCCTCATCGAACCCCATACCTTCAGACTCGCGCCGGATGCTCCACCACAGAGCTACAGCTACGTTGCTACGATCAACAACGTCAAGAGACGAAATTGTGTGGGTAAATAGAAAAGTAAAAATGGTAAATGATGGTATATCTGAACCTGCTCTAACGTCGTAAGTGACCCCACTCATCTCGCAGAAGCCCGAGCAAAAACAGGTCTCAAAACGAACATAGATGGCTGGGCACCTCCCATTTTCGAGGCTCTTTGAGAGCCTGGGTCCGTCCAGTTATCGAAGGTAAAAACCGTTTATTATTTACCACCCAAGGGCGGAGGGGGGGTTTGAATGATTTTGGCTATGTCGCAATGAAAACTACCTTATCCCACCATAAGGCTCTCTAATATTCTTGTGATCTCACTCATTGGCATGCCCTTTTTATACCCTGTCGGCGACCAGGCCTTTTCCGATTGTGCTCGGCAACTTTTGAGCAACGTTTGACGTTTGGAGCAACTTTTAGCAGTTCTAGGAACCTCGAGTAATTTTGCATTTTTGAAAAATTTTTGAGGAAAATGTAGATTTAGAGCACATATCAAGCTCGAAAGACTACTTAATGATACATTAACATACTTCAATAGGCCATTTTATAGTTGTGTACTTACAGTTGCCAAGCCTTTGATTTGGAGTGAGGCTGAAGTTGACCATGTTGTGATACATATGAGACCAGTATTTAGTTAGCATGATAACAAAGTCATTTACATTTGAAAAGCAGCAAGGTTTGTATCATAACAAAGTCACCCTTAGCCTCATTCCTGTTCAAAGGCTTGGCAACCAAGCACGCAACTGTCAAATGAACTATTTATGTAAATTTCTTACATGTTTATCAACCTTTCGAACACAAATGAACCATGTGTTTTGTTCCGTTAGACCTAAGTGTATCCCTAAATTTCGCCCATATTTGCACATCAGTCTTAAACACGTTTCAAGCTATTTTTATAGACCGATGAGAGCAATTATAAGAGGAAAGAAAAATAAAGCTTTAATTAACATTTCTATGAATATATCCAAAAAATTAGTCAGCAATTTGTGAAATTTAGATGGCGACTTTTTGAATTTTTCGCAATTTTTTATAGCCTACTTGTAGCCGTACCCTCCCCCTGCCAAGATGAAAC